TAATAATTAAATATAAATTTAACATAAATATAATATAGTCTCTTCTGTCAGATGAAACATACATCCAAACCAGAAAAGGGAGATAACTTCACCAATTATGTTGTAAGTAAAAAAGGTAAATCTACATTTCTATACAATTCCATTGTTCTACCGTCTATGAAACTGTAAGCATGTAAAAAGTTAAGTTCTTTAAAAGTTTTATTTCTTACTTCAAATTTCTCTGGAACATGAAGCTTAGGAGAAGGAACTCCTACAAGATAGTCAATCAAAACCATGATTACTATGGTCAGAAATACTGCAAAGTCACTGATGGTAGAACGCACCTATGAAGAAAGGACTTGGCGTTAACTCTTGCTTTTTCATTATTATAATTCGTATGTGTAGCAATACAATTTTCTCCCCTTGTGAATAGTGAAGTCTATTTCTATTATGCTACACCACTGAACGTTATATACATATATATTCTTTTTATTTTAAAATTTAAGCTGCCTGCCACCATAGCACGAAGTTGCTGAAGATAAGTATTCTGTACAACTGTTAATCCAATTTTCTCATTGAGAAGTGATCTACTGCAAGAAGCAAATTACTTAAAACAACTCCTTCCTCATCTTCCTGTCCTCTCAACCCTACTAGGAGGCTGCACCAGCACAGCTAGTCTATCATAGCTTAATAATATCATTGAATTGTTCTGAAGTCAATATTCGTACATTTGATGTTTTAATAGATAGGAGGGGGATAATTTGCAACAGATTCAGGTTATCAAAGGTGACTTTATTAAATATTAGCAACACATCAGAGGAATGAACTGAGGCTTATAGAAGGTCTAATCGCTTTATTTTGGCTAGCAGTTGCATAAAACCAGTCCAAGGGTAATCACTATAGTAGCCTCTATTAGAAACAGTAATTCCCTGAGGAACCACTCAGAACCCTTCATATGTCAGCAGTGCAGGGAAAGCAATCATTTGTTCTGTACAGCCAGGTGAGGAAAACAGGAGAAGCATTATCTCTCCAAATGGTACCTGGCAATACCCATCAATACGGGGAGACAGACTGCTTAGATATTCTAATATTTAGAACGTCTTGTTGTAACTATAGGAAAGTAGAGAGTAAGCACTGAATTTTCTGCAGCCAATTCCTTTCCTCTAATGTCTTATTTTTTTTTAATCATTAGCTAACTTTCTATTTTTAATTTCTTTTTCTGTCTTAAAAGAAATCTCTCAATCCAAAGTTCTGAAGCAAAATAGAAAATTCAGCTCTGTTAAGTAATACTAATGTATTTATCACAAGATAACAATAGTCTCTAATCACAATTACCTTAGTTGGGAAATAGCGTTTGGTCTTGAATTGCTTGAGAAAAGAGGAGAGGAAAAATGTTGTAAAAAATAATATGACAGACCAGAAGAGAACATCTGGAATATATGGTCCATGATGGCCACAAGCTGATCCACGAAACACACCGTGAAATTCTAAACATTCCTGCAAAGAGGAAAACTCCTTAAATTTCTACATTTTATTCACTTAGTACAGTCAACCTAACTTGTAGCTTTTTGATATAAAACACATTTGAGAACTTTCACAATCCCAAAAGGGGGATCTTTCCTTCATCACCACCTCATCCTGAAATGTCAAAAACATTAGCTGTCTGTTCCAGAAGAGCCATAGCAGCCATCACTGATTATTTCAGGATGCCAAAATGCTGGGAGATGCCCAAGAAGAAACAGCTTCTTTACATTCACCTCATTTCTATTCTATTTCTCAAAGTATCGCAAGATTGAACGCACAAAGACTGAGAAGTAAGTCCAGGAAAAGCATATCCAACATCAGCTTTCAAGCTAACGAACATAAAAAAGGATCTCCTCAGTTTATTTCACCTCTTTATTCTTGACTTTATTTTGTCCTGACACAGTTAAGGAAAAAACAGTCTCTTACAAAATGAGATTTAACCCAACTGTAAGAAAAGAAGTAAAGTAGAAAAGCATCGTAAATAATGGATTTGAATAAAAAAGAAATCAAAGTCAGACAATCCCTATCCAAAAGGCTCACTGAAATGCAAAGTAAAGAATTAAAGTAGACACATGGCGTACAAGGAAACAGCAAACCAATAAATCAAATAGTTGGAAGCAGCACTGCCACAACCTAGTCTTTAAACAGGTTAACTTTTGATAAATTTAACTTAAAGACAAAAATTCTCCCTGTTAACAACTTGCTTTGATTGTAAGCACCACCAAATCCTGGATCAGTTCTGTCTCTCTGGGAAGACTAAAGATGCTCAAGAGAATGAAAAGGTATACAAAATAAATATAAAAACTAAGTTCAAGAGAAACTGCCGTCCTAGGTGATTATGGTAGACTAGAAGCCGTTGGTGGTACACAAAAAAAAACCCCAATACAGCCAAAACTCAAGCAAAGCACTGAGGCTCTCGATAGTATTTTTGCTGTGCAAAGGTATATGCAGCTAGCAAATGCAACGCAAAACCTATAGCAGATCCCAGTCTTCAAGGTGGAGGTGGAAACCAGATGCCACTGTATGTGAAGTGGCTGTAGACTGTTGCATTTAGGCAACTGAATCCCACCCAAGGAACTACTCATCAGCAAAAATGTTTCTTCCTACAAGCCTTCAGTATCACTTCCATGCGGTAACTTTCCTCTTCTTCACCTACCGACAAAATTAAATACTGTTGTGAAATATCCAGTTCAGAAGGTAGTGTTTTCAAGCCTATTCCTTTAAATAACTCTTCACCATTTCTTTCAACTTTCAATTTTCCAAGTAATTATTTTCTTCCAATCAATATTTAGGTATTTTCTTTGATTCTCTTGTTGTTTTATACCAGCGTCTAACAAACTAAAGAAACTTGTTTGCCAGCACACTTTAACTGCAGATCCCATCTTCACATCTTCTTAAAAATATTTGTTCATCCTTTCCAGGAAACTGAAGGAAGCAATCTCCTGTTTATTCACATCATCATATTCATCTGCACTTCAGAAAGACGACTGTTCTGCCTATCAAGATTAAAGTGGCTACCTCACGCAGACATTTATTATACCAGCATTTACTGCCAAGGGACTTGCTCATCCAAACCAGCACAATGACTGTTTGAAGCATTATGGGAGGAATAAAAGAGTTCAAAAATACAGTTTTAAAGAAAACAGTACAGGTTGAAATCAAGAAAGAAACCAAATGAAAAATGTTAATCCGAGACTGATACTGTGTGAGTACTTCTTTTTTGTCCATAAATACATACACACACACACACACACACACACACAGAGAGCTGGTATGTACTCACAGAAACTGTAAGATTACTCCATGCTATATTTTCCATAGACTTATTCATATTCCTCCATACCCGCAAAGTTTCATTGCTGGGTTTCTCAGGCTCAGAACACACACATCTGAAGGACAGAAAAAAATAATTTACATGCTTTTAAGCCATATATGCCAAAACAGAGCGATTTGCCATAATTTCAAAAATCCTGAAGTGTGTAAACCAGAGTTTAGTCCAACATTCTGTCAAAGAAGCAGAGTACAAGACTCCTCCTTACATGCCATGAACTAGGATTATTGGGGGGAAATGAAGACTTCAAAGAAGCAACTGCTCAGGATGTTCAACCGATTGGACCAAAAAACCCAAAACATGTATTTTAAAGATTCAGAACAGGCAAGATGTTGACTTAACTATATGATTGATCTGCCAGTTTTTAAATAGAATGACACCTGAAGAACAAAATAAAATAAACAATATATGCAGATTTCTACATATTGTGAATAAAAATATGAAGATAAAAATCAAAATGACATCACATTCCAACAACCCTATACTAACATATATTGTGTTATTTCTAAAGATTTCTACATAGTTGGACTAACTTGATGCAAATAGTTTTCTATGGCTGTATACAAATTAAGGTTTTTAAGAGTTCTATACAGCATAACATGCCACAACTATTCAAACTTCAGGCTGTCTCACTGTACACCAACGTAAGAGAAAACAGAGAGATTGAAATGATTTCATTTTAGAAACTGTTGTAGATGACAGTTTCAGCAACTCCTTTTCAAACCTGAAATGTCATTAGCCTCTAGGCATTTCTGAATCTTTTCTAACATTCTGAGTCTTTTCTAAAATCTTGTCCAGTGAAGGTCAACCCACCACAGGTAGATAATACACAACTGCCACAGAAATACATCAAATGTAAAAAAAGATACACCTAAATAGCTTGCTTATTGCATTCCTGAAAGAAATAGTTATTTTTGTAGTGATAGTTTTACTGCTACTTACTGTGATGAATAGAACTAATAGTTCCACTTAGTCAGGAAAGAAAAAATGTACCTGTATTGTACCTACTATTATTCTTCTCTCTCTCAAAAAAATAATTTTTTAAAAGTCAAGTATTGCCCACAATCACAGTAGAAAGCAACACTGTTTGAAGATGTTAACTCCCTATTCATAGCATGTAAAAGTTGCAGAAGCTCTCCATGCCTCGGCTACCTGGAAATAATCCTCATCCATTTCTACAAGTGGCAAAGCAGAACTCCTCTTCTGACCTTTAATCTCCAGGCTGACCTTTAATAAAGCTGCAATTAAAGCAGGCATTGTCCCAGCTCCTCATCCCTTCCAACCACCCATAGCTAACACAGAAAATTCAATTCCACAGCATCCTGAATAGAATTTTTCTGAGGCTTCTCATGCCCATACCACCCCCAGCATTCCTCCTACCCTTCCACAGAGGCGCACACGCTGCAGTTTAGTAATGGTATGTCTCTTCCTATAAAATTTTCCCTACGTATTTTATGAACAGATAGAAACTCAGTACTTACGAATATAAAGTCAGTTTATCCAAATCATTGTGCATATTGAAGGCATACACTTCTCCCAAATGAAAAAGCTTTTCCAGTGCCTCATAAATAAATATGATGCATATAAGTGCTGCAAAAGCTTCCTCAGTAAATCGAGTGATGTAACACACAAGGCTGCTGGCATCTGTGGCTACAAGCACTACGCATAAAAATGCGGTCCACAGACCAATGCTAGTTCGCAGAGAGAGGTAGGAAAGGTCATAATCCCTGTGTGAAGAAAGAAACAAAAATATTAACTGAGCCAAAAGTCACCTATACTATATTCTATTCAAATCCAGATACTGAGGCCAAGCTCTATAGGTATTCACCACTTTTCTCATCCTTGAAGTGAGTTCTGAAGGAAGCAGAAACTTTTCTGTCTCATCTTCCACCAAAGCAAAGCAACACTGCAAGGTGTTCCTAGGACCAAGAGTGCAACTCCCTAGCTTTGGAAGCATCACGGGGATGATCTTCCCAGAACTATCTAGACGCTTTCTCCTACAGAGCAGATCAATCCCTGTTTACCCCTGCAGAATCAAAGCCAACATCTCCACACAGTCAGAACATGACTTTTATTTAAGCCCTACCTAGCCACTTCTTATCACTGATTTTCTCATTAAGGCTCACCAGTGCCTCACAGATTTGCCAGACCACACCCATCTCTCAGTCTCCTGCAGCCGCATTTACATCTTCATGGACATCCATTTTTAACATGCATCTGCTTTCAATGACAGCTATTGTAACAGGCTAGAAAGTTAGAAAGTGCATCAAGCTAACAGAAACATCACTTACCTGCAAAATTTAAATAATATTTTTTCAAATACTAGAACTGGTCCGGTGCTTCCCAAAATAGTAAGAGGTTGCCCAGCAAAGAGAGAATAGGCAATCCCAGTTAATGAGGCTCCAAAGAGAGACTCTATTGCACTCTGTTTGGGGGAAAAGAAACTGCTGTAACTATGCTGCCTTTCAGGTTAGCGTTTGGCATCACATCTGCATAAATATAGTTTTAAGATGCATTAACTTAGAAACAAGACAAGATGCAAAAACACCGCAATTAATATTGATGTTTGAGACAAGAATAACATAACACAGTTTTGCAGTAACAATACCATGGACAAAGGGTTTTAAAAACTTCACTCCTGAGAAACATAAAGCCATCCAAAACCATGAGAACAAGTTACTAGTTCTGCTAGCTATGGAGGAAAAACATAGCAACAATTACTACAAATTTTTTTAAAAAAAAAGTTACTCAACATGTAGTTTACAGAATTATCTGCCTCTGTAAAGAAAATAAGAGATATATAGATATATATATATTGCAACATACCTATACCAAAACATAATACAGTGTGCCATATCAAACCTGCAGTCAACCAAGCATTACAAAAGAAAAAACTGACAGGCAGAGGTGCAGGGTTATTACTGAACAATACTGGTTTATGTATACATGACACCAAAAATAGATGAGCAGTAAACCAATGTCCCACCTGGTAATGCATTTCTTTTCATTGAAGTAAGAGATCTACTTCAGTTCGTTAATTAAGATTTTACTATAACATTTTCTCCTAAAAAAATGTTGCAATGCACCCCAAAAGAGAGGGGCAGGACTTTTCAGATACTAAAATACTAAAGTTACTTGAAAATAGGTAACTACACCATTTACAAGTATAAGAAGTCATGGATTACAGTTTAAGGGGTTCCTGGTGGAATTTTTAGGTGTTTGCTGTTTTGCAATTATGCAAGCCTAAGAAAAGAGTATTTACGCAAACTTAAGCTCCAACTCAGGAAAGCACCTAAAATTGGGCAAAATGGTTTGCTGAACTGGGGCTATTAAAAATGAAAAATGAGTCCTTTGTTGACCACATTAGAAAAAAAAAAAAATCCCAGTCTCTTGTGTTACCTTTGAATTAGTGCTTTTAGTTAGTCAATGCATTAACCTTGGGGCTCTCAATCAGGGTGGCAGGGACAGGTACTGTGGAGGTGATGACCTCTGGGAATGCAAGGGAACGTTTCAAACACAAACTGTGTACCTTACTATGTCAGCTACTGTGCTTGAACATGTGTGTGCAGTAACTAAATTTTACATTCAATGATGCACACCAAGTATCTGAAGGCAGGAACATAACCCGCAAACAATTCCAGATAGCTAAAAGAAAGAAGGTGTTTAAGAATCAAGCTTTAAAAAGAGCATATTTTCATACTTATACATGATGTACATTCAAAAATTACACTGACATTTTGATAATCATTCCTACATTTAGAGCAGCAAATACAGTGCACTGAAAAAATGTGATATATTTCTATATTTGCTATCAGCTTGAAGTGCTACATCAATAAAAAAAAAAATTCTGAGTCAATAGCATTACTTGAAAGACATAAAATAGTTAACTAAATTTTAACATAGTACAAGCTTAAAAACTTGATCTAAGTATCAAGAAGAATTTTATAGCATCATAAGCTTTACCAGAATCTTAAAATTCATAAAGGACATGTCTGAATACATCCTTCCCTCCCCCAAAAGGACAGAAACTTGTTTCTTCACGATAGATTTAAAAACAGAAAATACACTTCAAACTAGCTTCCTCAAAAGCCAATTAACACAAACACTACGTTATCAACATTGCTGATGTTAAGTATTCTTTCCCTGCTCCAAGAGCCAAAATGCAATGATACTTTGGTTAAAAAGGTGCTGGTGTTACCTACTGCCCAACATAACACTACGAAAATTTTGCACATGTATGGTTTACACCCAAGTCACTTGCAATGAAGAGTATTTTCTGCTCATAAACCTTAGCCACTTTCTTTCATTGTTAACAACATACCATTAGTGAAAGCATATACATATCCTGTCCTTTATCAAATACACAATTGACTGCTACCCGTACACTGCAGGCATTATCATCCTCGTAGGCCTACTACTACTCAAGGCCAGTACACGTTCTTGGCTAGCCACCTTGAGCCTCTGACTTTGCCTAAAGTAGGCCTAGTGGGATGGTGCACCTTTACTGCTATCCATTATTTTTAAGTAGCCTAAAAGAAGGCAATGCAAGCCTTTTCTCAATTCATGAAGCCATTCATCCAATAAGGCAGGATAAACATTGTTTACCTCCACTGTGCATCTTCTCCTGTTCACATGGGTTCCCCACATTTTCCACAGCAATTACCTTTTGGGGAAGATCTGCTTTGGGGCAGGCTAATCAAGTGCTGTGGGTAAATTCTTCAAATACAAGTATAAATAAATGAGACAAATGCACACAGTGACTTGCCTCTGAAGGTCTAAAAGCCTGGCCACTACCATTCTTTGTACTCACTATTCTGCCTTGTGTAGCTTCTCCCAGGAGCCCTCCAAAAGTGATTACAGGAGACATACAGGCACAGTATAGGAAAAGAATCGAGGCCAGGCACTGCAGGCTTAATGCATCCTTGAAGTCACTCAAGAAAAAAGGTGCTTTCCTTTGGATGTCAAGTATCAAACCACCAAAAAGCCTAAATAGGTGAGATGAAACTCGTCAAACTGTACACTAAAGGATTCTAGCTAGTTCAAAACTATGGGCTACACATGACTGCCAGTGCCTACTGCCAGCACAAATTAGATACTTCATAACCCAGATTAAAGCTTAACAGTTTAAAATGTAAATGAGAATCTTATCTATTTCAGTTCAGTAGTATTCCAAATATAAATCAAGCAGGTTATCCACACTTTTAAAAGCTGGCTCGGTATTTTTGTATATGGGCTAGATACTGAAAAAACATCTTTGCAAACGATTTTACCTAAATGATGTTTTAAGTCAAATCTGTCTCAAGACACTCAAAGCAAGGAACAGAAGGAATATGCTAAACCTCAACCAACACCACTGCATTGATACATTTCAGTATTACTACTCCAATAAACAGTTGTAGCTTTTTGATTTGAATTCTCTACATACATACGATTAGGTCCATAAATAGCTTTCCATCTATCATTTTTAACAGTCTTTTCATCTGCCACTTTATATTCCTCATTGTTCCCTTTCGTACATGCTTTATTAAACAGATTTTCATTAATGGAAATTTTTAGTACCTAGCCCAATACTGAAAATTGTATATTCCTGCTATAATTATGATAATTGCATGCTCTCGACAACTAAAAATTAAAACCCAACTCTTAAAAATCAGTTAGTTAAATTAGCAGCATCTTATACAAAATCCTCCACAAACGTGTTGAGAAACATTGCCACAGGCTTGAAAATGCTTTAAGCAGATTGGCACTTATAGGCAAGAATCCAACACTTGACAAGGAAAAAGGATGTGTTCTGACACTTATACCATGATTTTTTTATGTTTAAATGTCATCATTAAAAACGGTGAGGATTTATCACTTTTCTTTCTTTATGGTAGCTAGTATCTAGGGAAGTGAACACACCTTCCAGTTCTCTGAAGTTCAGGTCCAGCATGATGGCCTTCTTCTTTGAGAGTCTCTCCCACAGGAGTAGATCCATTTGGAAATTTAGGTACCTTCCTTTTCTCCTACAGGGAAGAAAAAGAAAAAGGAAAGGAAAAAAAAAATCTTTGAGACTGCCTTTACACTGAAAGGTGTAATTCAAAGACAGTGTGCAAAGACTCTATGCCTTCCAATCATTTCTTTCCCAATCATTTCCAGAGTCAAAGCCTCTAGCTTCGAACAGAAACTGACCTCCCCTTATGACACACATGGTATTTAGTTGAAGTGTAAATGAGAAGTCATTCCAGTATAAATGAAAAGTCATTCCCTTACTGAGCAAGCCGCTCACCAGCTCCTCATAAATTTCTCAGCTGAGTTGCCTTACAAAAACCCCCGAGCCCTGCTTATTTTGGAAACGAGTTAAGTGGTAGCCTCAGGCTATTCATGAATAAACTGCATTACTGTCATCTCTTCCCTTCCACCCACTCCCACCCCAAACCACCAATGGATTTGACACCAATGTCAACCTTCCAAATCAAGAGCACTGATCTCTCCCCCTACTTTTGATCTGGTGGCAGGAATTCCCCTCAGTTGTAAAGGAGAAAGTGAGGAAATCAGAGTCCCTCTAAGATCCAGCTTCCCCTGGCTCTCATTCTAAGCTTGCGTCACAACTGAGCGATATGAACCATCACATTTTATAAAGATTCTGTGAACGTTATATGCTAGCCAATACACATTAAAACATTTCAACGTTGTATGCAAATGAAAGTTTTTATAAGATTTACAATATTCTCGCTGATCATTGTTAGATTAATAATAAAATTTATAATGAACCCAGGTACAATGGTGGACCAATTCTCCTAGATCTCACACAAACTCATTTCGGTATTGCAAAAGGAAATATAGTAAATACAATTTACTTAAAAGCATAGCAGGAAAATGATTAAGGCTTTTTTTTAAAAACAACTTAAATGGACAATCCACTTTTTTCTTCCAAATGGATGTGTGGGCTTTGCTAATGCTTTACTAAAGTTTATATTCAGTACACAATTTACTTGCATTTGGAAATAGCATTTTCAAAGTAAAAAAAAAAATCATGGAAGTTCTCCACTGGACTACTATTTTTTTTTTTTTCCTCCTTTTACCTGGGAAGGAACACTTTTTGGTGGCTCAATTCGTATAGATGGATCCCATTCTCCTGGAGGCAGGACTGTCACTTGATCTAAAAATTCATCAATTCCTGACAACAAATCATTTCGGTCTTTTGCTTTATAGGCAACATCATGGAAAACCTGTAAGAAAGTACCCAACATTTATTTTAATTTTATTTTTTTGAAAGAGGAATATATTACAAGAACACTTCATTATTTTTAAAAAGACACAAAGTTTTTTTAAAAGGTCCTCAAAAGTTAGGCTTTTACTTTTCTTGCTTACTTTTGCATTAAGAACTACCTGTATGCACATCCTTATGGAACATAAAATAAGGAAGTTACACCTTCAAACTCAAAGGGAATATATTTCTAAAATTATTTTAAAAGTTAATCTTCGATATTCAGTAAATCAAGTTAATGTACTATTGCCTGAATAATTCTGCCCCACAGTGATTGTGCCACCATGCTGTGCTAAATCAGGACAAAAATACTTTAAATAACCTTCAAACCAAAACATACTTTTTTATTGAGAAAAGAACTTCCTTTGTGTATCTCTAGTTTAATTAATTTTAAAAGATTTCTTAAAAAGCACACGAAAGAAATCCTCCCACTACTCAAAAATCCCTATGCTGTTTTACAGACTACTACAATACAAACTCTGAATTGAAAAACAGGTAGTATTAAAAAAATAATCTCAGAATCCCATGATGCATTTTATACATAGAGAAAAAAATTGCTAGTTTTGGTATAAATTTTTGCACAAGATGATCCTAAATTGCTTTCGTACATTTGAAACAAACTGTTTGTCTCCATAAGTCTTCTAATTGTAAATGAGATCTTTTAAGTCTATTTAGGTCTTTTTAGATCACTGAATATTTGTATTTTTCTATTTCAATGATCTACACTATTCCTAAAAATCAGCCTACCTAAAAAATTCAAAGCTGCAACTAAAGCTTTTAATATTCAGTTCTCACACTGAACAAATACTGTATTCACAGGCTAGCTGCCCAATTGTAAAATGACCAATTTCTGGTTTACATTTCCAAACTTTAAACTGTTCTAGAGTAAAGAAATCTTAGAATTTCTGCTACAGAATCCTAATAATCACCAGCAATTCAGTAGGGGGCGCTCAATGCGAAGTCAGAATTAAAACATCCTAATTTTGCTCAGTAAAATGACAACAGCCTTAAAAAGTCCCGATTCCCCTGTGCTCTTTAAAACCATCCACCAGGGCTCTAAACATATGACTTCAAATGCCTAGTAAAATTCTAATTTTAATTATTTGACCTCTCTTTGATAAAAAGATATCTGTGATGACTCAATCACAAGTATCCTTAAACTCTGCCCTGAACACTTAAGCAGTTTGCTGTGTCCTTTTCAACATACGGTGATTCATATCAGATGCAGTTTTAGTTAATAATTCTATTTCCTAATTTAATACAAAAATTAAATCTATACAATAAAGCTAAAACATTTTTTTCAGAAATACATTTAGGATTTCTTCAAGACAGACAAGGGGAAAAGTTAATTTACCATTATCTAGTTCACTAACCGAAGAAATAAGTACGTTCACAGTTCTTCATTTAACCAGTTTGTTGTTTTTTTTTTTTTTTCTTTAACCTGTCACTCCAGAATATATTTATTGAAAACAGTCGGTAAATACATTATTCTAGACTCCTTTAACTACAACTGTTTAAAATACATCACTCACATCATCTGTCATAAGTGTTGCTATAGATCTTCCAATTTCATGGTACTGTGGAGCTTTTCCTGCTGGTCCCAGCAACAAAAACAAAAACCTGTGGAGAAAGCAATCAAGATGAGTAAGTCTGACTCATTTGAATATACTCAGAGTTCTTTCAAACTAATGTTTAAAGAAAATTTAATGGTGAAGTAAAAATATCCTCTTCACTATTTCAGATCTTAAAGACTTCTGCAAGAACTAGGAAAAGACTTGACTCAAAGTCATTACTGGAAGGAACACGAATCCTGAACAAAAATTACTATGAAGTCTTCTTAATTAAGCGTAATTTTTCAACTTCTTATAATGCCTTAAATGTAGTAGAAATCCACAGGCTAGAGATCAATGAATATTTCCTCCAAATTATAAGTCTTTCTGACATTCCCACTGGCAAAGACCCCTTCATGAGGGCCCAGGAGCTTTATGACCTGTTCTGGCCTCCCTGATGACCACCTCTTCATGGGAGTCAAACCCCTCTCACTTGCTGTGACTGGGTATGTCACATAGTAGATGCACAGATGTGCTTCAAGCAACACACTGGGCATACTCATATAGGCATAGCTTGGTCCTGTGTCAGTGGAAGGGAAGGGAACCTGCATTTTGAACACCTAAGAAGGTAAAAGCGACATTTTGGGAAGTGAATCAAATCTGGGGGTAGGTCACAGCATACATTAACACACAGTCTCTATTTCCAATCCCACAGTAACAGTTATCACACTTTAAAAAAAAAACAAAACAAACCCCACAACATGCAAACACCTTGAACAGTACTACTATCTTATAAATTCAAAAGGATACAAACCAAAGAGTAAACATCTCAGTAATTCTTTTCAAGACCTTCTTCCTATATTCCATGAAAATGAAGTTCCTAAGTACAACACATTCAAAAAAACCACCTTCTTTCACCTCACAGTACAAAAAGCCCAATGTTTTTTTCCTTTGCGAGTTCACTACCCTATCTGAAACTGAGACTGCACCTTCAGAATCCAGTATGCTATTCCAAATCCGAAAGTCTACACCATTCTAAAAAAGTTAGTACATAATAATTTTAGCTACATTAATACAATAATCTGCATGCAGAAATTTTGGAATTTCCCAAGAAACATTACGAGCACTAACATCAACTACCCTCTGAAAATTCTCCTATTTATGAGAACACCGCCAAGATTATTTTCGCCTTTCGTTAGAGTGTATAAGCTGAAAATTACAAAGATAAACAAGCACTTTGATCATTTTAAAACATTTTTTTAAAAATACCAAAACCATAAATGTACAAACTTATACACAACACCACAGAACAGCCCAATACACCCACATGCACAGAAAATGAAGTGTCCTTCATGATGACTGATTAAATGACCTGCTATGTTCATCATGGGACCTGCATTTTGACCATCTGTGGTAAATACACGTACAGTATACTGGTGAGACCCACTATTTTGGAGGACTGGGGGTGGGTGCACCAGGCTAGACACCATATTGCAGATTGAAAACCAATTCAATGTATTAGGTGCAGACTGGTCACCCCAGTGTCAATCACGTAGATTTGGGCACATTAAAAAAAAGTTTTTCCACCACTTATTCATATACAGAGTATCTGTATACAAAGAGGAGAGCTTCAGATTAGACAGACTTTCAAACTTAGTGGACTCTTCCCCACTGTCATGCTGTGTTGCACTGAAGGGAACTATAACTACCTTCACGCCCATCTTTAAAATAGCAACACAAGCTTGGAAGATTCATTGCTTACACTCCAGGTCAGTTTCAACTTCTGCACTTGCTTAAGACAGTGTATCATATATATATTCAGAGCATGCAGAGAATTTTATGGTGGATCCCATTCCTTCAAATTTTGCAGCGAATGACAAGACATTATGTTAAACAAAAGTCTACATTCCTTGAACTTCATAGAGTACGTAGAAAAATGTACACGTATTTGAGATCGTAAATATTATTATCTTATTGTATAAGTAAAGCCAGACTTTCTGGGCATTTATTTACCGTGTAGGAACTGGAACCTCTGTGAGACCTGAGAGAAGCACAGCAGGGGACAGCCTCACAAAAGCAATAATAGGTCTTTCTAAAAAATCTACTTCTCCCACTAACACATTTGATGCTTCTGCTCCTGAAGGAATTTTCCTCATGAAGTTCATATCAACCTATTCATACAAAGATGAAACAAGTGTTTATTCCCTTACATTTGTTAGCAGAAATTCTATAACATGATTACAAGTTTATCAGCATTTACCAGACATTTATGCTGAAAAGAAAAATAAAAAAGCAAATTAAATACCCCACAGTACAGAAGAGACAAACATACGTAGAAAGTGTCAGTCAGCCAGCCAACTAATAATAAACAATTCTCTAAAAGTCAGAGTTACTACCATCTACTGCATTGTAGAAGACTCCCAAACTGCATAACCACCTTTCTAATATTACTTATCATGACAAACATTCTGTGATAGGACATAACTTAACAAAAATCTATGCACAATTAACTAAGGAGAGTTCATGTAATTACACATGCTTTCTAGAATGCAATTAGTTATTTCACAGCTGCATATTTCAAATATGTCATAATTTTGAAAAATAATTTGTATGTTTATGTTTTCATCCATAAAGAATACAATGGCTGAAAATCTTAACATTCATTTCTGTACATAATTACAGAAGAGCATTAGAAAACGGTACAGCACATGAACTCTGTGTTCACATACACACACACACAAGCACTGGTTACATTGCTATCTAGAGAACTTACAGATGGCCTCTTGAGTCCCACACCAAGTGTGCCACAACTACAGTGCCAGGAGGCTGCCTCCTGCCCAACAGGAGACAAGGCAGGTGTACAGAAGGACAGGCCAAGCAAAAACATAAAAACTGTGACAGAGGAGCAGGAATATATGGCATCTGCCATGATTAGATGAGAACTACAGTATAAGTTAGTGTTCCTTAAACATAATTATTTAACTTGGCAAATGCATTTTCTTACAGTGTTTCACAGTTCAGATGACACTACAGACTGAGTTTTATAGTGAAAGCTACAATGGAACTTGACCAGCAAATATAAATTACGGAAGAAGCACAAGAGATTTACAGTATTACCAACATTTCCTTCAGAAAGCGGTATTACATGCTCCTAAAGATTAAGATATAGAGTAACTTTGGTATAGCAAACACATAAAACATATAAAGCAAATCCCCTTTAAAAGTCCTCTTTAAAAAAAAAAAAAAAAAAACCAAACCCACACACCCAAAAAGTCAGTCCTAGGAAAAAAAAAAATTACACCACCACCTCCAAAATTGTTTTCACAAGAGTCTTTACAGTAGATCTGAAAATATCTCCCTCTGCATGAGAAAGTACAGTGGCTGCACTCTTGAAGTTACCAAAATACTGAAAAGATCAAACAAAACAGAAAGTTCAGTCCCACTGGGAAGAGTCTGAAAATATTTGACACATTTAGCCTACGCCATATCCTGATACTTCTGCGTCCAAGGTTATGTCTTGGTACATATGTCTTGTGTACACTTGTATATATGTGCCCGTTTATGTGTCTTAGTTACAACTAAGAGGGAAGTTACACACACTACATTTGGTATGTAGTTATCTTGCGCTAAACATTAAGGTATGTAATGATATTTACCTTACTAAAATCAACCGTGCTGTTTTCTCTGCTTCCTGCTGTCCCAGTACCTTTAACGTCTCCACTTTTCCCAGTGTCTAAATTTCCAGGTGCTGACTGTGGAGACGCTAATAGCCCTAAATCAAAACAAAGGAGAAAAGTTCAAAATGGTGTTTGAAGTGAACCGAGTACATGACACTACCAAAACTTAATGTGACAGCTTGCTTAAAGCAAATGTGCAAGTTATTCAGTAAGTGCCCTACATTAGTATCGTAAATGCAACATCAACAAGTCATTGTGTTGTCAAAATGACATAACTAAAGATATTGCCCAAATGATGGCCATTTGCAGAACAGTCACCAGAAAACAAGAGCTACTTTAATTGCAGAAAAAATAACAACTGCTGATATTTTATTCATAACCGCTCTAGTAGTTAGTAGACAGCACCTTCACTATATTTATAAGTCTTCAAACACCAAAAGCAAACACCTCTGCTATCTAGTCTGCTGCATAGCAGTATTTTCAATTGTTAAAAGCCTCATTAAGCTTCAGGCTACACCTACAAGGAGTGAAACTCTGGTAGCTAACTAACCTTTACAAGTAAATAGTGTACTTACTACACAAAGGATAGATAGCTTGCAAACCATGACTTCAACCAATAGACCAAAGCTCCAAATATGATCTGGCCAGATGTTACTATATGAAATGGTGTCTCTAACACATCAGCTGAAGAGGCATGCACAATCAAGTTACTAAAGTTAAACACGCAGCTTCCCTCTAACATCTGCACCAAGACAAAATTGATTTACGTAGCTTCTACACTGCTAGCAAGACTGAACTGCAGGTTCAGTGAAGGGTGCAAAAGGCAAGTAACACAGGTGTTTACACACACTGAATTCCATGTTGCGCTATGCTTATCCCTACTCAAATGTCATTTAAAAGCTGGTCTAGGCATGCATAACCAAGCCCAAATCCCATCTTTTGGATTACAGAGCTTTTACTTGTTCAGTTTAACATACACTAGAAGTGCACTTGGCCTTGCTTGTCTACACTAGACATTTAAGATGTGGTGATAAAACACGCTTTAACATGCTTTCAAAACCACATCTAGGCAAAGACTAAAGTCTAAACATTGTATTACACGCAGAAGGTTTCTATTTGGGTCAAGCGTCAATCTAGTCAAGATAAAACTGAAGTCCTCGCTGGCTACCTTTTGGCTATTGTTCTATCATAACTACTGCTGCATAACTACTTGCATCCCTCCGTGTTCATAATTTAGCAATTTGACATTTTCTAGCATTTCAAATGACAACTGAAATCACTTTATTTGGTCCCCAAATTTATTTCAAAAAAACCCTTTCAAAGAGCCATCATATCAGTGGAAAATATGCAGGTCCAAGCCTTTAACATTAATTTTCATTCCTACAGTTCACAGGGATATAAGTGGTGTGGGTAGTTTTTCCTGAAGCAAAAAACAAATGAAGCTAATAAGCTGTAATTTCCTTCCTGAATCCTAACATGCACATGTAATTAGCTAATACTATGTTTGGTTAGCTAGACTCAAAAAAAAAAATTAAAAAAAAAAAAAATCACATTCTACCCTTCTGCTCCATGATGGATGCATTATTCATAAGAATAACTAACAGCAATCAACGCTCTGTGAAATGAGCAGTTCAAAGTATTTAATTGCATAAGAGTTGATACTAAGATGTGTTGGTAGGACTGGAAATAGAACAGAAATACTAAACAGTTGTTGCAGAAGAGAAACATACAAAAGTTTACACGTATTAACTTTTTTCACTTCCCCCCCCTACGTAACAATAAAGGTAACTGAATATGTGTATGACTGAAGAAAGATGAGCAACAATGCATCATTTTGCACTTTTCACAAATGCCTGTGAGCACGAGCAAGCAGAGACTAGAAAAAAAAGTGGAGAGACAACCAAGGAGGATGGAGACTAAGTATTCTACATATTAGCATAAACTAATTCATTACTTCAGTACTAAAGTGATACTGATTCTTCTAAAAGGTTTGCCTTTAAAAATTTCTCCAACCTGTCAGTTATGGTTCACAAGTTTTGGCCCTGACACAGGAACATTTGTCTGATCCTAAATCATGTGTAAATAGGTTTCCTTTCTGTTGGTCTTGCAGTTGGACAGACTGCTGCGCTCACATGATACTGCTTACAGGTTTTCAGACCTAAGCAAGCATTTCCATATGATACTGCACTTCATTTGCAGGGGAACTCAGAATAAAAACCTATCATCTCCAATAGCAAAACACTTTTACTCAGATCTCACATTAATAAGAGGAATATATTTCCTACTCTTCTTCAGTTCAGTAGACACAAACTCAGAGGCTACTGCCAAAAAGAAGACTACCTAGCAGTTTTTCCAGACACTGAGAGAAATTAATCTAGTCTTAACTAAGCTACCACGGGGCTCATGAAAAATGCACAGTACTCTCCTTGATGCTGTGAGGCAGGTATACCACTTGTCTCCTTTGAAAGACAACAGCAGGTTGAGTCTTGAGTAAGTCTGGATTAAAACCTCGTAAGATCACCCACACTGAAGTACTCAAAACTACACCTTCACTAAGGATCATGTGCATTTTCTAGCCAACTACACTTAGTTCAATACTGTGATCACAAAAATCTATTGGACATTACCTACTGAAAAAAGAACTCAAGAATAATACAGACATTTGCCTCATCTCTGCTTCAGTAAAAAAAAAAAATGTTGGGGAAGTAAGATGAGTTCAACATCTAAGCATGACTATTCCAATATAATTATGTTTATACAGGCAAAATTTATTAAATACGAAACTTTTAAGTACAAAAGCATACGGCATTTGTATTTGAGAAAATAAAAATCAATTTTTAAAAATAAATTCCAGTAATTTCAGCCTTAATGTTAAAAATATATTAAAATTCCTCCCAGAAGGCAAATACGTAAATCTTTCTGGATTACTATTTTCAGTAAACAATTATTTTAAGAGCAAAGCTGTTCTAAATATTATTTTATTCAGTTTTATAGTACATTCATCAGTGAACCAAAGGACCCCTCAAAACAGGCTACTTTGCTGTTGTTCAAACACTGAAAAAGCTTAATGATGTTGGTGAATTAACAGTGTTCACCTTCAGCTGTGACAGCTCTCTTCCTAGCTCTACCTATGAAATTCATTATTCAACAGTTTCAGAGACAGGAAAAAAAAAAGCTGTTCTTCAACTGATGACAGAAGAAAAAAAATTGTTATAGAGAACCCCTTGCCTGGTTGACTTACTATGAACTGATGACTGGCTGATAAAAAGTGGTAGACTGAAGGTGTGTCCCTCTTCCTCCTTTTACAGTAATTCACATTAAGTTCAGTAACCTTCCAGCTATTCATAAAAACTAAAAAACAAAGTTTGAATAGCACAAGGCCAAGGACAGATGAATGCTAAACAGAAGCAAGCCATGTATTATAAAATTAATGCATTTCCTAATGCTCACAGGAGACAAACCCAACTCGGTCATACAGGCATGGAAAAAGTATTCAGATTGCAATACTGTGAATTACTAGAGAGGTAATACAGACTATAATCTACAGTGGAATGGACCAAGGAGGTTTTTGCTTGTTTTGGGTTTTTTTTGCTTGGTGGCTTGGGTTTTTGTTTTGTTTTGGTTGGCTGGGGTTTTTTTGTGTTTTTTTTTGTTTTGTTTTTTTAAATTAATATAAGAATACCTCCTCTTCAGGGTTCCCTTCTGAGTCTGTCTCCCAAAACAGACATTAGTGCAGTTGCAGCCCTGAAGTCATAGTCTGAGAAAGTCTTCAAGGGCATCTCTTAAGAAAATGCATCATTCTGTGGTCAGAGGAGTTCTTGAATTAAAAAAGAGGGGGAAAAAACTCAGAAAACAAAAATGTCTTCCATCATTATTGGTGTTCATCTTTTTCTGTGAAGACTTTTATTTATGGATTAACTGGGAAATCACCCCTGTCAGATTTTTCCTGTGGGAGAAACATCCCTTTGAGGCACAAAAGCAATTTGAACATGACTTGGAGATTCTGGTGGAAAGCTTTATTAGTGATAATAATAGTATCAAGTACTTGATCTTCATTGGTTAGTCTTCTCTGGGGTTCTAAAGACCTTGGGTCTGGCATGCTGTCATTCCTATCAGATAAGTAGAAAAATCGAGAACTGGAAAACCAATTACAGCTGTTATTTTACTTCTAGTTTTTAATTACCTTTGAAACATGACCCATGAGAGAGAATGATCTTCATGTGAATTCTATTAATTTCCCATAAGGAAATCAGAGACAGTTTTTTGTTTGCTTTTCTGAATTTAAGTAAGGATGGGGCCCCTACTCCAACTCAAGATGACAGGCTACAACATAGTTTGCTCTCCCCTTTTCAGTGACTTGGCTGCAAAATGTGAAAAGGCAGCTAACCACAGCCTTTTCTCTGTCAGCATATTTTACTGCTGTATGTAACAGTGTGGTCTTACTTATTAAATAAGTGAGGAAGAAAATCAAGAAAAGCCTCACTGATGAAAAAAATTGAGTGAAATCAGCTTCCCCCCCGTACACATAGGTGTAAAGCAGACAAACCTACAAGCTAGATTTTGGCAAGACAAATTGGGGGGGGGCAGGAGGATTGTGAAGGCTAAAAGGAAAGGTGACTTCCTTAAAAACATGATCTATACAGAAGAATCCTGAAGTCTCTAAATAGGTGATAATTTTGCAAAAGTACAGCAAGTATAATAGTATGTATGCAAAAGTCATGAGTGACTAAACATTTAATCAAAACTGTTAAAGAAACCATCAGAACTTTCCATTGTTTCTTTCAACTTATCTATACATCTACATACCTTTTTACATGTAAAGAACAATAGCTTTGCAAGACAACAATTTAATAAATTGCTGAGCTCTGACCTATGATTAGAAACTCTGTACTACCTTATCGTATTTTGCATATCAAACTCAACAAAACAGTAATCAAGTGTCTGATGCTGAAGCAGTGCGTTAATGGATAACTAATCTGGAAACAGTTGTAGGTGAACTGAACCTGTCAGTTCTATTATAAGCTACTCATGGTTTTAATGGCCATGGTTCCGAAAAGCACAAAAGCAAAAATAAAACTGCTCAAAGACTTCATGGTACAACTAACCTACAAACACCACTGATAATTGCATCCTTCCTAATCCTTTTCATATTCATCTCAAATACTTCACTACATCTGCAGCTCTAGCTATCTCAAGATATCGAACACTGGTTTAAAATGCTATCTTAACCACTGGCAAAAACAAAGCAAAACCTGACATGGATTGTAGGTGAGTGAAAGGAAAAGGCCACCATTTTTGACATTTTGCTTATATATTTTACTTTAAAACCATATTCCTTCTTACTTACACAAATGAAGGTTAATTAAAGAATTTTTTTGCTGGCTTTAGTTAAAAGCTAGGAAGTTAAAAATGCCAAACAAGAAAACAGTCACAACAGAGAAGAAATAAAACATGCAGGCAAAGGTAACAGTTATCATATTCCTCTGTGCCCAAGTTATGTGCCAAAACCATCGCAACGCAAGTGATCCAGATGCAGACTGCATCACACATGGACAGCTTAAATTTTGATAGTTGCCTGGTGTTCTGTTAAAATTTTCCTCTGTCTTCTTTTCCTGGCTTTCCTGCACTTCTAAGTCCTCCTCAGGTGGGTGGATTATTACTGAAGGAATATCATCACTGGCAGGTGACACCAGCAATTCCTTGCCCTGAAGTGGACTTGGCTGGGCACTTGTGGTTGGCAGGTGGCTGCAGGTAGGACTGGAGGGTGGTGTGTTTTGAGGGGTAGTTATGGGGGTTGTACACCTTGAGGTTGCCGGGGTTCCCGTTCTTGAAGAAGGAAGAAGGTAATTGAGAAGAACTGACAAACGGTTTTCTCCTCTCAGGGAAATATTTGAGGCAGAGAGACCTGTTCGCAAAGAGTGGCGGGAGGCTGAAAGGCCTTCCCCTGAGATAAAACAAATGAAACACCATGAGGCTTACAACAGGGATATACTAAAAAAAAAAAAAAACCAAACCAAAAAACCACAGACACAAATATGCATTAACAATTTACACAGTAAACTGCAAGCTTCACAGGCCAAAAGTGTCATACTCATGCAAGTAAGACAAGAGATAAGAGCAAATCTGATTTCAGACATTAGAAAAGTCAGAAACTACTGACGAGTACTAATTAGAACGCCAAAGAGATGTGGGAGAAGGTATTATCTTACAGACAGTAAGATTTGTTCATATAACCAAAAAAAAAAAAAGGTATCTTAAATTTTCCTAGAAGAATTTCTTATTCCAAATTGCACAGCAGCTACCTTTAATACCATCCAAAAAATACACTTAAAAAATCATTATCGGCCAAAGCATTACAAGACTTCACCATTAACTGCACCCATTATATAAAAAAATTGTTAATTTTTTAAAATGAAGATATTTCAAAATGACTACTATCAAACATATCTAATTTTGTTAAATGCAACTGTCTTCAAATAAAAGTCTTGTTTTAATAAAAATTTTCCTAGCCAGTTGTAGTCTCAATATATAATTTTTGAGGAAGACACAAGGATAAGACACATACTCCCTTCTCCATTTCTTCTTATTGTGACTTACCAAATTTTCCCATTTGCCTAAAACCAAACACATTTCTCCAAAATCCTTTGTTACTTTTCTTGCCCTATCCAGTTTCAATGTCCAACTACCGTCATATAAAAATAACACAGTCTTGTCATGGTTCCCCAAGATTTAAGTTTGTCATAGATTTCAGTTCTTCCTTAAGCAGGAAGAGAAGCGGTCTACCTTCATAGCAGTATTTCCATTAGAAGGTTTAGCAATACCATTCCTCCCATTTACCACAAACTTTTCCTGGGATGGAAGCCTCCTCAAGAAGAGTACTGATTACTTCTCCTACAATCCCCAAAATCAAAAATGTGCTGTTTTCACATACCATGCCATCAAACAAGGAAACAGCAAACTAGACACATTTAGTCTCACATTTATACTAGGCACTATACAGACCAACACAGTGAACAACCTAGAACAATTCACAAGAAGGAGGTGCAGAAAGTATCCCTAGGTAAAGATCACATACATTATTTCCCCCACTCCCCAACAACGCATGAGTGGATCCTACAGATACAAACCTGATTGAAATTAAGAACAAAAGCCTCAAAGATCAACTATGAAAACTGCAGTTCAGTAACAACAAGAGGACCAATAAAGTAAACTGGTTGATTTTGTCTATATTAATCACTACAGTAATAACTAGACTTCTGTCAGTACATCTGTGATGAACCATGAACATGAGATGTCCTAACACACACACAGGTGTAAAAAGGAGCCTAAAAAATATTATGCACATATGCATGCTTGGTTTACCAGTTTATTAGAGGGATTATAAAGAAAAGGTAAATCAGTATACACTAGCAAAGAGTTCACCATGTTATACTGGTTTCTTGTTTCAGTATATATCCCATACTCTGTTGTAAAATAGTATTAAGAATGAAATGCACTGGGAAGTGGAAATGATACATGAAAAGTAACAGACAAGCAAGAGACCTCAAATACAAAATTCTCAGAATTATAGCTGGGGATACAGGTGTTCAAGGATGGGTAAAACGAAGTTCATGTGTGAAATTATCATGTTTGCTAAACAAAACAGGAAAGTCAGAATTTACAGAAGAAAGTATGCTGTCATACAAATTAGTTGTATTTTCATTCCAGAAAAAATAATTCCAAAACTATCAGGGAAATATTTAAGCATGCATCGTATCTTCACTAGCTGACAAAAGTATCAACAGGATTGGACATTTGCTGGAGTATACTCCAAGTATGTATTGAACTGAGAGCTCCCAACAAGACTTAACTAACTGGAACATGTTCTGAGCAGCGAGGATTCTTTCAAGACAAGAAAGGAACTTCACTTCAGGGAGTGATTCATCAAATCAGTACTAAGTTTTTACTAGACTAAAAAATTTCAGTTTAAATTATACGTGTCTTAAGTTAATGCAAGGCAAAAGAAAACAGAAAGAACAGAGATGGAAATAGAGGCTATAGAAATACAAGAATAAAAGTATGCTGCTCTGCAGCATATATTGCTAGTTGGACTTTGGAACTGGATGTCTAGAGTAAATGTCTTGATATTCTAGAACGTTTTCGGGAATTGGTGCAATAAAAGATGTGGTACAACCTATAGAAACACTGCAAATACCTTTCTCGGGTTGGGGGTTCCCCCCCCCCCCATTTGATCCTTCTCTACAAAACTTGGTATAAATAGAGTGTCCTAGCTACAAGTAATTTCTTCACCATTACCATAGTGAACTTTTTCTAGCCACATTAACATAACAGTGGATTAAAACACAGTAATTGTCAGCATCACCGACTCATGACGTGACCACAAAGTAAATCTCTAGTTTAAAGACTGAATCCATCTGACAAACATATAAAGCTATGCCATGATGCTGAAATTCCTCAAACATTACACATTTTATTCAAGCATATTGTAAAAAACTATTATGACCAATATAGGCCTAGTTCTAGCCTTCAAAACAATAACGCATGCTGTGTATACAGGCAAAGTACAACGTTTGAGTAAATTCAAAAATATAGAGAAACCATCCACAGCTACAAATAGCACACAGTGTTATCATTAGTTCTTTGCTTATCAAGAAGGAAACACTTAACTGCTATTACCAGCTGAATTTTCCTTCATCTCCCAGTGAGAACACTATTTAACAGGTTAGAACGAACTGGATGCCACAACTTATCTCACCATTTCGCTCAAGCAAGTGAGGGTCAGAATGTTTCTTGCCTATATCTGCAAAAGATCGAACCAGAGGAATCCGATTGCTGAATTTTTTCTCATTCTGATGATGATGCCTTTTTAGAAGAGCCTCTCTCACATTCTCCCTTATGGATTCATCCAGCTGGCCAGAGGCAATCATGTTGTCCAAAACCATATCTACATAATAACAAAACAAAACAAAAGAATATTACATATACAGCTATCAAATCTCTCCTTCACCACACTCAAGCACTGCAGTTGCACCAAATAATAAGAAAAAAAGTAAATCTATTTTCAAAAAAGTCTCTTTAGCAAAGGTGTCTTCAAGAATCCACAGGAAATTTTCAAAGGTGTCACTAGACAAGCAAACCTGAGAATAAGGAAAGCCCAACACGCAAATCCAAAAGACAATATTTATTATTAGCATCATTCTAAGAAATAAGTTACTTAATATTTTATAATTTATTGTCATTTACTTCAACTTTCAATGGCAACTCCCTTTCGAAAAAAAGCATCTATGTATTCAACAACCCTTCATCACATGTGAACAAAGACAGAAACACAATGGAGAACAGATTTAAGACAGCCCTAACCTATTTTGAAAGTATACAACTATATAAAAGTGAAAGTTCTTATAAAATGAGATGAATTCCCCAATTTACACCTTCAGATGCCCTAAGTTCCTGAGGCTCTCTGCTGAACTTCATGCAATTCACATGCTTTAGAAGAGGAAGTATAAAACAAAAGCTAGTTACATCACCTAAAACTTACTGATCAGCTGTCAAACAACATCAAGTTTTGAAAGGGCATCTCATCAATGTGCTCATACCAGGAAAGAAAGCCTGCATGTCTGGGAAAACATCTGCTGTGATTCCTTAACTGCTGCCTTTTTTTTTTTTTAATTAATTGGAAAAAAAAGAAAATTAAAAAACCACCACAAAATCCTGCACAAATCAACTCGAGCCTATGTGACAACTTCTAAAATATATTTGTAAGCCTTAACCGACATATTGAGAACTTATCTGTACGGGTAAGCTGCAATTACATAGAACTTTTCACAGTGAAAAAGGTTATGTCTCAGAATACCTCACAAGCAAAATTATATGCAGCAAATTCTCTGTCAGTACAGTGCAGCTTCCTTCTGGGATTACTGGCAACACACAGCCTCTTGTTATAGCTTCTGAAAAGGAATCCTGTCACTCTCTCCCTCCTGTTTTGAGTGATAACCAATAATATCTACTAGGTATTCCTGGCTCACAGAAACAAGACAATACATTTGTATGCCAAAGACTGTTACCCTACATGCTTCCTAATGGCACCTAAAATTAACTTGAAACAAATTCATCTCTTAAGACATCCTAGTTCCAACTAAAATACCAGCTATTAAGAGAGTGCTGTTTACACAGAATTAAGCAGTAACTATTTTTCTTATATACTAGGATCATTGCTAGATTTCATTATTAAAAATAAATTATAAACCAAAACATTACTTTTACAAACCATGTCCTGAACACTCTTGCTCAGTAAGTCAGGAAAATAGGAAGGGAACATTGATTTCCCAAGCGAATTTTGAAGATTTCAAAACAAAACAAGAAAATATTTCAAGCTCTGACAAGGTTTTTAATGCCAAAACACCTTGTCCTTCATACACATGTTGGTCAGCCCTAAGCCTAGCATGATTCCTGAGAAGGCTTTCCACTGTGTGGTACCTGTAGCAAGAGATACCAAGAAAATTACGTAAAACTAATTCAAAGGCATTCCGACTAAGCATATATATATATGTGTGTGTGTGTATAAATGAAAGTGTCTTCAAAGATGATTTTATACTCTCCAAAATGACCATGTGATTAGTGAGGACACTCAACATAATAGGTCAAACACGTACAAAATTTATTTCTGCTACCTCTTATAAATGTGAAAAAAATACCAGATGTGTAAATCAACTATACTAGTGACATCAAGTTAACATCAGCCAAGTTATGATTAATAATTATTGCACTAAAGTGCACAAGTAAGTCCTAAAATGTTCTGGAAGATATTTACATTTCATCTGTAGAAACAAAGATGAGGAACACATTCAGGGATTAGAACATAAAGGCAATTAAATTCTGAGACTCATCCTAAAATATGTAATAAAGGACTACTACTCATCCAGTGTAGCTCTTTGTAAGTGAAGTTTGTAGGACCAACCCTTTAAAACCAGACGAAAAAAACTGCAGTAAGCATGCACAGACCTTTTTCTTAAATATAGTCCTTTCAAGAGCACAAAAAGACACCATCAAAAAATTCTCAAGTTATTGATTAAAATTTCCAAATAAAATATTTAAAGAAAAACAAAGTTTTGTTGCAACCTGCTATCTCATCTAGAGTGTTTGCTCTCATGTCCAACATGACGGTCCCATTAAGAATACAGCTTCGCAGTTCAAAGAGACTATGCAGAGACAGGGTTGCTACATAAGGCTTGCTCCATCGATCGCCACCATCTTCAACATCCTCTTCAAATTTCAGCCACCTGAAACACATACACATATTCGTATTTCTCCTAGAAAACAGATAATTTGACAAGCAAAGCCATTCTTCCCTGTGGCTTCTGTATAACACAGAACAGGAAACACTGTCACCTCATACTGGCTTTCATTTTCTCAGACAACCCAACTGATTGACAGTCACAACATTTTTATCTGGCCTTTTAACCACACTTAACTGTTTTAGTTTTTGCTAGTTTTGTTTATTTTGGTTTGAACAATATCTGTCTATCCACGAGTTCTTGAGAACAGTGTGGGATTGTGCCCTGTTACTTGATTTGCATATCTCAGTTTCATCAGTATTTCAGGATTATAAAGCTGTCTGAAATACACTGTATACCACGTTCAAGACTCCTAGGGTGCTAAGTCAGACATTTAAGAGCTAGGTAATACTAGTATGTGTAACTATAAATTAATCTTGAATCTTACTCACAGGCATCATGTAAACTGAACTTCTGCAAAAGCTAGTATGCAATAAGGTAATTAGAAGTACTGGATGCAGAACAATTTATTACAATGCATATGTAGAAGGAAGCAATTTAACCAATATAGGCCACAAATAATCATGCCATCCTGTTATGTTCATGCATGAAATTTGCAAAAAAAAATTAATCAAACACTACCCAGTAAGAACATATATAAATACCCAACTTCCAGAGTTCCAACCCTATGATTCTCTTAAGATCATCAAGCCCAACTGTCAAACCCAACACCACCATGCCTACTACACCACATCCCAAAGTGCTACGTCTACACGTTTTCTGAACACCCCCAGGGATGGTGACTCCAACACTTCCCTGGACAGCCTGTTCTTTACGTTTGAGTGAAAAATTGACACTAATATAACATCTATAATAGAGCAAAGAGATTTCTGAGATTGCAAATACCTTCCTCCATGCTGAACACCTCTATCTAAAACTAAACAAAGTCGTACCTTTCACAATGCTTGGCATGATCAGTTTTAGGGAAGTCAACATAGCACCAGTAAGACTGAAGATCTCCTGAGAAACCGTATTGATTCTTCCAGAGTTGGACAAAAAGAACAAACATTTTGATTTGCTGAGCATGAATTGAGTGGACAACTCTTACAGTTCATGAAAATTGTAGCCTAGACCTGGTTTGCAGTTCTTTGAAATAAAATCACTAGAAGATATATCTTGTAACAATCTACTTTTAGCATACCTAGCCGTTTCTTTCCATTCATATTCTTCTCCATCCCTGAAGCAAAGCTCATCCATTTCAGTGAAGAGATCATGGGGAATGTGTTCATCATCATCTTCAGTACCCAAGATAAACTGCACTCGTTGGGATGGCGTGTCTTGAAGAGAAGCAGAAACTGAACAATTAAAAAGAATTCATACTTCTATTATGCAAGAAACACCATGCAACACTTAAGTGTCCTGGCTCTCAGTCAGAAATATGCAGCACAGTATCCTCTTCAAGAGGGAAAAGGAACAAAAGAAACATGGACATTTCTTCAAAATCAGGCGCTTTTAAAATTTCACATTATTTCTAAAAATAAAACATCTGGAAATTTACATTTACATAACAAAATTAAATACTTTTAGCTCTTCTATAGGTTTACAATATGAAAATAAACATCAACAGCAAAGTTGTTAAAAAAAAAAATATACCAAATAACACATCAAAAGGCTAGAAACCTTGTTTTCACTTTGAGAACAAAATAAATGATAACATCGTGACACAGACTCTAATTAAAGGAGGGGGAAGAAGGAAAAAAAAAAACCACAAAACCAAAAAAAACCCCACAAAACAGGTTGATGGAAACAAATAGCCTGACTTACAGATTGGTTGTCCTAGTAATTGTTCAAGATGCTAAACAGTTGGGTTTTTTTTTTTGCTGTACATAGTGAGTACCCAGGCACTCATTGTTAGAGCAGCTGATTTTTCAACAGCCTGTTGGTACTTACATACACCAGAAAAAACTATTAACTTTCTCATTGCATAGTTGGAGCACTGTACATAAATTAGCACAGGAAAGTAGAAACTACACAGCTAAAATGTTGAGGAAATATTTTAACTTATCACAGTGCAATGCCTAGTGGAACAGGCTCAGTAATAACTCATAACAAAATTTAACTTGATCACTTACTGGTAAGTAGTGGACTTCATTGCTACGAGCAAAACTTTAAAAAAAACAAACAGTATCAAACACCTGGGTTTAGAGATACTTTTAACATCTATACACTGATCTTGTTTCAACTCAAGGGAGAGCTTTCAAACTACAAGCGTTCAATAACGTAGTAATTGCAAGGTTTTCTCAAGGAAGGTCAGAGATAGAAAAATCCAGGTAAAACAGCTTTTAAAATTTTACTTTGTTCACTGAAACGTTATTCTCACAGCTGCTAGGTCTGAGCATACACCGTATCCTTCCACTGCAGAAGCAACATCACCTTTTAGATTTAGACATAAGATCTGAAGTACTAATACACTTAATTCAGAAGGTAGTTTTGCTTTTGCATTGTTGTTCTGGCATACGTCATCCAACACAATTCTGAAATGAGCTCTTCAACACAAACAATGTTCATTATCAATGAAGATCTACAGCAAATTGTTTCTGTCCCAAAACGAACATATCCCAAGAATCCTACCATATCCTGTGTATCCAGGATAAACAAGTAAACAGAAGAGAGAAGTGAATTTCTATTTATTTAGTATTACTTGTCGCTTCAGAACCTGTAAAGCAAGATTCTAAAAGCATAAGATCAAATACTTTGTATTTGGGAGGGGAAGTTTTGAAGACTGATGAAACTAAGACCTGCAGGAGAATGGTAAAAGGAGACTTGTCACAGCATTCTCATTTGAAAACTCATTTGTTTCAGTGAACTGGCCCCATGTATTACATGGTTCTAGTCACAGAAAGGCCACAGTGAGCAGCACGGTGTCCACACCATAAGTGGAACATTGCACCATAATCTTCCCATTCGTTACAGTCTAGGAATAAAAGTGGGTTTGAGGTCTTAAGGAAAAACTGCTAAGAGTACTGCCAAATCATTTCAGAGAATGATATGACAAAGTCTTCATCTCATGATGATAAGGGGCGGGGTGGGCATGTCTGATCCAAAACTTTTAAAACTTAGGCAGTAGTACAATTCCTTTACTGTTACTAACAGACAGCAAGAAGGCTCAAGCAATTATTTTAATAGATCATTGATCAAATTAACATGGCAAATGTTGCTTCACAGCTATATTCATACCTTCAAAAATCTTGAATGACAGAGGAAGAGTAACACAAGACTACACAGTCTGAAAAAAGGCGTCTGATTTAAATAACGGATTTTTATGCTACAGGTGAGTATTACGAAGCTCTACTCACTGCAGGCTGCTGAACATTCGTGCAGACACCTGCATGAAGTCCAACAGCTTATGATTTAGATAAAATATGACCACAAAATCCTTGCCTGATTGTACGTAGAAAGACATTCATTACAATGAGAATAAAAGAAACAGCACAAAACAAACAACATTTAAGCACACAGAGTAACTACTACAAGTTTATTTTCAAGAGACACAAAGAACTCTCACAACAGATTTCTTACCGTATGATGGAGATTCTCGGCCATCCTCTCGGTCAGTTTCTTTTTCTTTTTTTCTTCTGTGATGCCTGTGCCCACGATGTCTATGCCGCCGACGGCCTTGCTTTCCAAAGGGGACGTGAACTCCAATATACACAGCTCTGTGGCCTTTTCAAGAAAGTTTAAAGGGAAACAATTAAACCAAAACTGACCTCCTGCCCAAATTCAGTGTCTTAGTCAAAAAGACAAGGACTTTGACAAAAAGAAACCGAAAAGCACTTGGCAAAACTACCTTTAGTGAACTAATATTACCATCTCCCTTCTGTCCTTCTCCGGTGTCAAGGAACTAGTGCTACACTCATCTCCCTGATAGCAGAGTAAGAATATGGCCCAATTTAAGAACTCAGTTGTGAAACAAGTAATAGAAACACAAGCTTGACCTGTAATACTGAAAGAAGCTACTTCATAAACAACAGGGCAAGGCAGAGGAATTACATGACACTCCTCTTGTTTGCAGGGTCTCACATCAGGACAGTCATTATGGCAACAAGTAATCTCCTAGTTCAGTTTATTAACTTCTTTAGGAAATTACCCATCATCTGCAAGTTTTCTCTGCTTGAATGAAGTGCCAATATTTCTTCCAAGTAGCACGCAAAACATCTAGGTGAACCTGATGTTCACCTATACCATTAATTATCAGTTTAGAAGTACAGAAGAAACTTACATTTGGAAGCATATGCCAAAACATCAAATACCTTAGAGAAGGCTGGGGGTTTTTTTCTATTCTAGAATTTTTTAAAATAAATTTAAGTAGCACATCCTCAAATTAATACACACTGCTCTTTATAACACGCACTTTCAACACCCTGTTTTTCCTTTGATCTTTCACATTAAGGCAATGCTAGCATCAACAACTTGGCAAAAGAAATCAATCAACAGACTATTATGAACATATTACTACCATGTCTCCTTTAATGGAGTTAGCATATACAATAACCTTTTCAATTCCTTTTTAAACAAACAATCTCAGGAAGAGACACATTAACTATAAGCCCGGAGGTTAACACTACTTGTTGTCATACTGTAGGAGAGTCATTACAGAACACTGACATTAACAAAAGGAAAAGGAAGTGGTTTTCCAGCTCTTCGAAAGATGCAAATTCAGCAAATGCAATAGAAGACAAGCAAGCCCTAGGAGTTGTGACTGTACACATACATGCCCTTGTATATACGTGTATAGCACAAACACACAGTAGATTATGGATATGGAAATTATTGGCAATTACAGAGCTTTAAAGAAATAAAAATGGTAGTATGTCAAACTTGTTTTCCAAGAAAAGCATCTCGAAGCCCAAAACGACACATAAAACTTTTTTCAAGCCATATTTTTACAGTGCTACATGAGTCAAAAGACTAAGCAAAAATCAATAGTAATGCATGAGTAAGCTTAACATTTAATTAATTTGGTCAAGATTACCTTTCAAATTACAAGACCTGATTCTTGACAGAACTTCCAACACAGTCAGAGTTGACTGACTGGTACTATGACCAAATCTGAAATTGAGCATACTAAAACCTATTTGTTTCCATCTAAGAATGGAAAACAGTCCTATTAGTAGAGAGAGGCTTTTCTTTTGTGAGCTTTTTCCAACAAGAACACCCAGCCCCTGTCGAGTAGCCTGAGGCTCTACTCTCCTTGACTGCTATGCGCAACGCAATTCCTAGAGGAACTAGTGCAAATGTGACACCTAAACAAAAATGCACTTGCCTTATAAAACGACTAGGTGGGACCACTAACAATATTCACATTATTGATACCATTGCGACACAATGATCTTATGTATAGGGAAAGCAAAAGTACTAAGTTCAAAAATAGCTGCATTACTCACCATATCCCACTCAAACCTGCCTGGTGCAACCAAGTGACCTACCACTCACTGCAAATGCTGTTATCATCCTGTAAGGATTTTTGGTTTATTTTATGTATTTAATCAGCAAGGATTAAACTACAGTTTCACATACAGTTAAACAGTTTTATTCATTGCCAAAGTTTTCGTGTTTTTTGCAGGAACTAGTTTTTCCTAAGAGAAACTCAAACATATTTCTAGTAATACAGCATTTTATATTATCAGCTTGTTTTAATATTCTTAATAAGACTGTTTTAAGCATACTTTTTGATCATTGCACAAAACACTTGCAGGTGATTACTTTCTAGAAAATTTCAGAAACCAGAAATAGTTCAAGAGTTTGCTTCCTAAGAAATCAGAAGGACTTCCACATTTTGGACTCTTGCCTGTTCCCATAAATTAAGACAAAAATCACACATTGCTTTCTGTACTAAAGAATAATTAAAAATCCCATATGATTTTTTTCAAAAGCCTCCATCTGAAACATTTCGCCCTGCTATTGCAAAAACTAGCATTTGTAATAGCGTGATCATTTCCATAGTCAAAGATCACGTTGCTGCATGGAGGAGACTTGGAACAAGGAAAAAAGAAGTCAACATATCTCCTTTCACAAAACTGCAGTCTGACTGACAATGTTTTTCAGTAGAAAAGTTTGGAGGAGAGCAGATACGTTGCAAAAGGACAGGTAAAAGCTAAGGAAAACCAAGCTGAAATAAGTAACAAACTGAAGGCGGTTTTAAACAAACTGTAACCATAGAAAATTGCTTTCCTACTCAAGATGCACTGACCTCTCAGCTATCAGTATGTCCAGGTGCCTCATAGCTGCTTCAAGGCACACTGAGCAGACACTGCCAACTTAGTCCTTCACCTGGGCAATGAGCCCACAACCTACCACGTCCAGTATTACCTTCTACTCCAGAAGAAAACTTTAAAGAAAGTGCCTTCTCATTACCCTAACAGATTAGGGTATGACAAAATACAGGGGAACAGGCTAGCAACACATTATCCCACCCTTCAGCCCACACTGCCCAGAAGTGACTACTGCGTGAACGGCTATTTCCTCACGCAGACACTGTCTCGCAGGCAAATGTAAAACAAGAATACCTTCCCCAAATCACTTCCGTATGTGCAAAGTAATCAGACCACTACACCTGCAACTGTATTTTGGGACTGATGTGAAATGCTGATGAGCATGACGATTTTCAGAAATTAAGTAAACCGCAACAATCCAATGTAATTCTATCCGAATAACTTCAAGAAAGAGACGTGATGTTGAAAAGGAGCCTCCAAAATTTTTTTGGAGCAATCATGGAGGGTGGCAGTACAACAGACTAGCCAAGAAAAGTCTGGCTAATGCAGACCACAGCTTATGAGCATGCCAGACTGTTCCTTAAGAAAGGGACCTTTTTTTTTTAGGTTATCACAGATATTCATAAACAAAGACACCTCCACTACTACCTAGGAAATCCAAAGCTACTGCTGTTGAGTATACTGCCACAATTATGCAAAAACATATTACAGGTATATTCAACTCCAAAAGGCAGGGCAAAACTGTATAATAGAAGTTGGACAAGCTTAACCTTAATTCTAACTCCACAAAGCAAAGCACTGAGAAGTCCTCTAAAAATAGACAGCTGTATTGAGTAGGTCTGCATTCCCTTAAGTTTCATTATTCAGATAAGAGTAATTAATGATTGCAGATGGACAGATAAAGATTTACCTACAGACACAGTTTACAAGGAAAAAACAAAACAAAAACACTGGGGTTTTTTGGGTTTTTTTTTTGTTTTGTTTTTTTTTTTTTTACTTTATTCCCAATGAAATGGACAAAACAAGTTACAGTTCCCTTCACCTCGGCCAAAACAAAAATAAAAAATAAAAATCTAGAAAAGCAAGTAATATAAAAAGCAATGGAGAAAAAGTTGACTCTTCAAAGGTCAGAATTCATACCACTAGCATCAGCATTATTTCTAAGTGGAACACAAACTTTTACTTGAATATTGTTTTTAAAAGCTTGAAAGGTACAATTACGTGACCTTCAAAGCTTTATTCACTCAAAAATCTGTACCACAGTACCACTCTCAAGCAAAGCTCATTATAGAATTAATTTAAACCAATAATCAACAGAATTAGCAGACTGCCCAATTCTAAATTTAGTAATACAAAGCTCAAGAGATAATTGTTCATTTTAATCTAACATGACTTTATCCAAGCTTAGCTGTTCAAATCCACCAAGAGTATTTACTACTTAATGTCCTTATCAGAATGAAACAAATTTAAATGTTAGGAGCTTGATACATGTCTCCATCACATGCTTGGTCTTACTCCAAAAGTCAGTTTATATCATGTCTTGTAAAATTGACAGAATAGAAAATGCTCTGTTTAAGTTCCCTGACTTCTCCCCAAAGCCCCCAAGAAAATGGTAATAGAATACTTCTAAAGCCCAAAAGAGATCAAAAACATGTATCCAAAAATGCTCTCATGTGATAAACCCTCTAAGTACAATTCCACACAGAACCTTCTTTTTTCCATTTATCATTTTGTTAGCCAGATGCCTTTTAAACTTCATACAAAGAAGGTCATTCTTCCCCATGTTAACAACGGAAAGTAAAAGCAAAAAAAACCCACTCAAGTTAACATCTATGTGAATTCTCAAATCCTGTAACAATTTGAACTGCAAAGACCATTTATTAATTACAGTATCTGGAGGTGGACTATCTGGTCCAATCTTGCGCGAGGCATAGCCAATTTCAAAGCTGAAGCCATCTTTTTGGATAGGTCAGTCAGGATGACAACCAGCCAAGCTTCGAGAATCTATAAGGACAGATACTCTACAGTCTCTCTGGGCAACCTATTCCAACGCATAACAACATACTGCATGAAAAAAATTTCCTAATATCCAGTTAGCACTTCCAATACTGCACCTTGTGTGTGCTCCCCCTCACCCTTTCACTATGTACCTACAACAAGAGTTGCAACTCCACCTTCTCCATACGCTCCCAACAGTTTGCTGAGGACAAGAACTTTATAACAAGGATTACTATTTTCTACAGATCTTCAAATAATAATCTGAAAACAGAACATTTATTTTACATAGAAGCCTTTATTTATTCTAATAATCATAGAATCACAGCACAGTTTGGGTTGGAAAGTACCTTAAAGATCACCTGGTTCCAACTCCCTGCCATGGGCAGGGGCACCTCCTACTAGACCAGGTTGCTCAAAGCCCCATCCAGCCTGGCCTTGAACACTGCCAGGGAG